ACTTATTGGTCAGTTTAAAACTCGAGGAAGCTTCGCTCGAGCTCTTCTTCGGAGCCTCCAAGCCATTCAGACCGGTGACATATTTTACCCCAACAAAAATACCACGGAAAGGATCTTCCTCTCCGTGGGCTCCCTCCCCGTGAAAAGTCTTCACGGCCTGAGCGTCGCGTATCATGAACTCAAAAAATGAAGGAAACGAGGGGGAATCCCCGATATCTATTACCCCAAGTGGGTCTTTTGGGGCACCGCCTCCGTTTTGGAGAGCCTCAAGCCCGGTTTCTATACCGGCATCCACCGCCTCTTCAACAGTCTCTTCGCCCCGAGATAAAACATCTTTGGTTTCTCTCGGCTCGGGGACTTGGGCCGAAGTTTCCTCCTCGACCTCATCAAGCCTAGACATAGCAGTATCAACTCCCACCGGTTCCGAAGATCTCCGAATCTCGGTGCTAGCTCGCGTGCAGGACACCAGCCCGGAATCATCTCCCTTCTTTTCTTCTTCTTCTTCTTCCCTTAGTCTTTAGGCTGACTCCATAGTTAGCGGGATTGTATCCCCCTTGGGTCTATGAGCTGTTCTCTTCTTGGGTTTTTGACCCTCAAAGTTTGAGGCTCTTTTCCTTTTATTCTCCTTCGCCGGTTTCGAAATAGGTGGTGAAACTTCTTCATCACCGGGCGGGGGTCTCATAGTCGCATCCTTTCTGAGACCTGCCAAAGGAGAAAATAAGTAAACTCATGTTTGAGGAGATGCTTGAACAATAGGCAAATCAATAAGTCAGGAAGAAGGCTTACCATGAGTAGGAGCCTCCCACCGGCCCTTTGACAAATCACGCCATGCACGCTTGGCGTATGTTGACGTCGAAAATAGGCTCTTAACCCAGTTCTCGAGGTGGGGAACCGTACCTGACATCCAAGCAATGGCTGCATCGAGAAAAACACTGATAAGAAAGGATGAAAAAGTAAAAACAACGAACAGAAATTAAAGATGAAATCATACTTACGCTTCATATTCCGCTTCTCAGGAAATGGCATGCTCTCAGCCGGGATTAGGTCTGCGGTCTTCACCCAAACAAACCGGCCCATCCAACCCCGATTTTTGTATTTATCTATACTCGAGATGAGCGCCTTGATGGACCGATGTTGAAGCTTTATCAGCCCACCTAGATAGAGTCGATGGCTATATAATCTTATGAGGTGGTCAAGGGTGAAAGAAAGCCCGTCGATTTTGCTCACGAAGAAACAGAGCAGTATCACGATCCTCCAGAAAGAGGGGTGAATTTGGCCGAGGGTCACCTGGTATTTCTTGTAGAAGTCTACGATGATCGGATCGAGGGGACCCAACGTAAAAGGATAAGTGTAAACACTCAGGAACCTTTCCACGTGGGTGGTGATCGCTTCTTCTGGTACCGGTATCACAACCTCTTTGTTTCCCTAGTTGTAATCTTTCTTCACCTGGTCGAGGAGGCTTTTGGGTATCGAGCATATATATCTCGATATCGGCTTGCATCGACCAGGAACCGATGAGGTTTTCTCGACCCTAAAGTCAAAATCTATGACAGACCCCCAGGAATAAGTTCTTCAGGGCGTGGCTCCACCACTGGTTTCTTGCCGGCTGGCCGAGATGAGGAAGCAGCCTCTTTCTGCAGAATAGTTTTAGATGTTTTGGCCATTTAGTTTTTGTGGGCAAAGAAGAGTGGAGACTGAAGTATTTGGTGTTTTAGGAAAAACAAGCAAATAAACACAAAAATTTGAAGATAGGAAACTTTGAAGAAAGCATAGAACTATGGAGATTGGAATGTAGAAGATTTGAAAGTAAAGTTTGAAATAATGAAGAAGGGAGCTATTTATCATTTTCACAACGATGGTTCAAAACTGGTAGTGGTCAACCGTCGACTGACGCACAAACCGACGAGACGTTTCTGTCACTTCTACTGCTTATGTTACGACAATTACATCATGATCGAAGGCTCAAATCGTTTCTTGTCATTACTCTCCAAAAAATGAGGAAACTATTTGTATACGGTCAAAATCGTGCTTACCCGATTTTGTATGGTTAATCGAAATCGGGGTGGCAGATCGAGGTTCAATCCCAAGTTATATTGGATCCCAAGTTCAATCCCTACCTCGTGATTCAGGGATCGATCGAGATCGAGACCAGCTAAGGTCGAGACCGAGAAGGATAGGGATCTAGCAAGATCGAAGGAAGCCCGCTAAGTCGAATAACAGAAAGCCGAGGAATCCGTGACCAGGCGAGGATTGTGGCGGAGATCTCGACATATATCAAGTCAAGAGCGGTTGATTAGCCAATCAGTAGATTTTCTTCTGTATTTAGAATTGTAACATATATAGAACTCCTCTACTATATAAACGGGGGTTCCAATCATTTTGTAGAGGGGAATTTCACGCATAACAAAGCAATATATTACGTTTTCTCTCTTAAGCTCTCTTATTCAGTTGTTCAGTTCTTGCTTCTCAATAATATATTCAGTTGGCTCGAGGACGACCTAGCTCGAGGGACAAAGTTGCGCGTTACATTGGTTTGCTTCATTTTATAGTTAATTTCTAACTTCAATTCTTATATTTCTGAGTTTGTGCCAAATGAAATCACATATCCTTAAAATCACTTATAAATTTAATTGATATCCGATTTTAAGGGTAAACATGTCTATCCTAACCGCGAATCCGTTCTCCGATGCCCAGGGTAAGAACTGGCTCTACTCAATCCTATGTGCAATCTAGAATTCCCACTTTCGAGTTCAACTCTAGATTCGTAGATAGTATTCAATTGGAGATCAAATATTTAAATAATTAAGCGCAAGATTGAATAAATAAACCAATATTATAAATCAAGAAAGCAAAATCAATATCCGAATAACAATAGTCATGAAAGAACCACAACCCTAGAACATGAAGTTTAGCTCCACATAAACATGGTAGCCAAACAATAAATCATACAAAGAAACATAAAAATTACTACGTTTGGTAGAAGAAAGATGAAACCGGCCTCCACGGCGGCTCTGTGCTCTCCCCTTGTCAAAAGTTACTCTAAACAATGTTCTCTCTCTGTAAAAAATAGGTTTAGAACCCCTTTTATATGAATTGGGGCCGTGTAGGGCCGAAATAACATTATCCCGAGCGCAGAAAACAGTAACGATTTTGCCGTTCTTTAACTATTTGATTTGAATTGTATTTCTCCTTCTTTTTTTTTTTTTTTTTTTTTTTGTCTTCAACTTGGGGGAACAAACGCCAAAGGGTGTCCCCCTTTATCTTTTCCTATTTAATTATTTTTCTTCTTCCGTGTTTTATCAAGTTTGATCCAAATCTCTTCATCTTCACATCGCTTTATTCCTACACAGTTAAAATATAATATTAAGCACAAAATAAAATAATTAATACTCAAAAGACGATTAAAAGTACTAGAATGTGATGCAACAATGGTTAAATATATGCATTTTTTAGCCGAACATCAATATATATATATATATATATATATATATATATATATATATATACTTTGGGTTAATTATACTAGATTGACTTAATTTGTAGTTTGAAGTTACTATAAAAAGAGTAGGTTTTAAGTTCAAAATTAATATACTACTCCTACACCTAATGCGTTTCACTGTATGCAAGAAGTTGCAGATGTTGTAAAATTTCATTAGTTATAGGGCCCAAAAATATTGGATGATTACCTCAAAATGCTAATTAATAACAAACTTCAAGATTTTCTTGCATTTGTTACCACGTAAGAACTTGTTTAAAATGGTGAATTCAAATCGCAGTTTAGAAAACCTCTCAGTATTTTGGTTAATGTATTCACATGCATGGACTCTTGTCCTCAGTTCAGTTACATAGATTATTCACTTAAAAGTATGATCATTTCGACGACCTCTTCCAATAGCTCATTAGTAAGAGCCACTCCTAAAGCTCATAGGACTTAGCTATATGTATACTCCTATATGTTTTCTCATCGTCATAAGCCTGAGCTGCTAGCTCTTTCACATGTTATCAGATTTCAGAAGTGGTTAAGTTATGATGTACAAAGCTAGAGAAAAAAGAATTACTAAAAGTCTAAAAGTTTAACTCTTTTTCTATTAAGTGGTAACTATGATAAATAAAAGTCGTCCAGATGCACTTTGTTAGCATTGTAAATATTGAGTATCAATATGGTCAAAAATGCAGAGAGATGTATGAAAATGCGAAATCAATTATAGTTCATGTTCATGTGCCCATTCATGTTCTCTCCTAAAGCTAATTAAAAGTGAAGATTTATATATATAGCTGATCAGAGGCGGTTCCAGAATTTTTACGCGACAGGGGCATTGTTATTTTTTTTTTATCGTTGCCCCTTAAAGGTTTTCAATATTCAGGGTGCCAAATTATTTTTTAAAGTACACATACATATTTATACAAGATTTCTGTTGAAGTTTACGGGTCAAGTGACCCCTCAATTATACAAGCAAATCTGCCTGCCTCTGCACGTAGCCGATGCTAACTTGTTTGAAATTGAAATGTAATTATTATTTTTGTTGTGTCGATTTCGAATGGCGAGGGGCTGTTGCGACTCTGGCTGTACCAGGTGCAGTTAGTGGTTTGTGGGGCTACTACATACTTAATATGGTTATGCTTAAATTGACTTGATATCATTTGCAAAGTCTGTTTGTTCAACCCCGTTATAATTTGTTCCAGAAAAGTTATTGCCAAAGTGGGGCGATTAAGCTGCAGCTTTCTTCACTTAAACACTGTTCTCTTCCATCCATATACACCGCCATAGATTACTTTAACCTGCTATAATAGATCAATTTACAAAGTATTATGGTATTAAAGTTCTTTTCCTGTCAGTAAGTATAACTTAAATCCATTTGTAATTAATACTTAAACTGTTAAACATAATCTTTTGCGTTGAACAACAAACACGTATTGTTCATGTAACTATAACATTAGGGCTCCTTTACTATTACCAAACGGTGCTAAAGCGTAAAAAAACTAATGAAAGTAGGGCAACCTAAGGCTACAAATTAAAGGTGGTATATCCGTGGAAATATACTAGTAGGAGGCAATAATATATTCTTTGGCTATAGGTAAAATAAAGGGGACTGTTGCTAGAAAAGGTAAATAAGTGAGCACTCGAGCCTATACAATAACAACATTAACAAATTAAACTTAGTATAATCTCACAAGTGGGGTATAAGGAGAATAATATGACGCAGATCTTACTCCAACCATATGAAGGGCGAGAGATTGTTTACGATTGACCCAACTCGGGCATATAAAAAAAGACAGTCCAGCGCAGGCTAGACCACCAGGGTCTATCATATACCTGCATTTATGCAAGAAGTTATTTTCACGGCTTGAACCTGTCACCTCCGTCACATGGCAACTTTACCAACAACTCGGACGTATAATATAAGGATTTATTCCAGAAAAAAACAGCAGCATTTAAGAGAGAGGAAGATGAGAAGCCAGCTATAGAGTGTTCATTCTTTTGTATATGAATTAAATTAAAGGCCAGTGTCATTAAGTGCTAGGTAGTTGTATGATATTAATATATATATGGTTATTATTTACGACTTCTTATTTAAAATTTTGGGTCCATCATATGACACAACTGCGCTGTACAATTCCTTTATATCATTCATAACCATTCCAACATTAACCTCGTGAAAACGAGAAGAGAGTCAACTCCTTTGCTTTTTGTGAGGAATGAATAATTNATATATATATATATATATATATATATATATAATATTTTACTTAGCTACAAAGTATAAATTTTGAGAAAATGAGTGTCAACCCCTTGAAAAAAAGTTGCTCCGCCCCTATTCACCCCCTCTCCCAACTGGGCAACTGACAAAACTTTTGAACATTATATTTCGTTTATTTATTGTCCTTTATCAATCTATCTTTTTTATTCAAAAATCGCTCAACCAAATATTTCACCTGGAAATATATGTTTAACATTAACTTTTCTAATTGGACTTTAATTCTCTATATTTATTAGACGGAGAAGTACTGATAATTCTTTTTCCCATTTCGTTTATTCTTTGAGACTTATCATTGGATGAATTTTTTTGTATGGGAATTTTTTCTTTCCTATATAATATTTGAAATTTATTTACTAAAATTATCCAAGTTTGTATATTATCCGTCCTAAATAAGTTTTTCTTACAATTTATATACAATCCATTATTAGTGTCTTAAATTAGGAAATTCTTTACTTGGAAAAAGGCGTAACTGAAGGGAACGCAGTTCAAATTATTCTTCCATTTAAATAAGACTTCATCCAGTTGTGTGTTACCTATTTTAAGTCATAATTAGCACAACTCTTCTCTATTTTTGCCATAATTAGCACAACTCTTCTCTATTTTTGCCATAATTATCTATTTTAAGAAAGAATAATGTATGGTACAACATCATACAAATTATCTACAACAACATACATACTAAAAATAAATTTTATACAATTAATTATACAGTATACAACTTATCTACAACTTTCATACATTCTTACCCAGTTAAATACAACTATAATATTATACAACTTAAATATAATTTTCATACAAATTTTATACAATATGTCTTTTGTATGTATTTGTATATAATTTGTATATATTTTGTATGTGGTGTGTTATTCTGCTTCTTCTTTGAATTTAATCTGAAAATCCACTCAAATCAAATCTAATATTACCAAATACCCTCAAAATTGAGATATAAACTCCATAGAATATTCCCAATCGTTTGCAATAACATTCAATCCAAACAATTCTTTTTTTAAAAATTCGAATTCGAGTTCAAAGCCTCGAAACTTTTTAATGGCTGTCAATGGTGGAGAGTCAAACATCTTCAAAATTTATTGATTGACAATTTCAATTCGAATAATCTAGCCAAATAATTAATATATATCTACTGCTAGCTCGCCATCGAAACACCAACAAGAAAAGGGAAAGCTCAGAAAAGCTCCAAACTTCAGCCATGGAAAAATTTAAATCGATAAAAAATTAATCCCTTTCTTCGCCATTGTTAGAGAAAATTGTGAGCTTTAGAAGAAAAAACCTTGTAGAATCGGCGTAGAAAGATGGTTGATGTCAAAGAGAGAAAGAGAAAAATCCTTTAGAAAGATTGAGTTTTGTCTGGGTAAGTAAGGAATTGTGAGAATTTTTCGGGATTTACTAAATTAAAAGGCTAAAATCAAAAGATACTCATTTAAAACTAATTTGTATATAATTGATAAATTATATATGACCATTAGATTAAAATTTGATTAGGAAGGATAAATAAATTTCATATATAGTATAGGCAGGTAAAAATTTCTTTTGTATATATGGTACAATTAAAAACACAAAGTTTGATAATAATACTAGTGAGACTTTTATTTTTCTTCTTTATATAAGTTTGGAAATTGTCATTAATCACGTACTTATCAACTTAAATCTGTGAGTCATATTCATTGTTGACCTAATAATATTTTCTTTTACATCTTCATTATGAACTAGGAGAGAATAAATTATTCTCTCTTTTCCTTTCATTTTACCCTTAGATTAATTGATGCTGTTCAAGTGTTTATGACACGAGAGAGAGAGAGAGAGTATTGTTATTTTATTTTTTCTTAGTGTTCATACAATTCTGAGGCTAGCTAACTTGTTTCAAAATCACCATTATTACAAGTAATTAAGTAGCTAGTACAAGAAGAAAAAGAATGCAGCAATAGAATATCAAATCAAACAATTGTTTGCAATACTAAATTTATTAATGCAAACAAACATCACTTATTCCTCCGTCTCGCAAAATCTACATAAGCATAATCACACAGCTCAGTATAAGCTAAAAACTAAAAAAGTGATGGAACTAGAACAAGTTACATGTGTATAAATAAGCTTTCTATGCTTTGTACAAAATTGAAATTGGTGAATTAAAATGTTGAATCACCAATTATACAGGAAAAACTCTACAATAAAAGACAAACTAACGAATGAAAACTAATTTACTGTACCTCTAACGGATAAACCAGTAGTAGTAGTAATAGTAATTTCAAGCCTTTCTTTTCTTGTTGTGCAGAGGATTTGGTCCAGTGGGCACTCTCCTCTTATCGGACTCTAAGTCTCGAGCAAACGGAGCACTTGCCTGAGGTTGAAAAACTTGATGTTTTCTCGCCGACGACGGACCGGAAAATCGGGCCGGCGGTGGCCGGTCGATGGCGTGAAGTAATACAATTTGAGAAGTGAAGAGGAGAAAGAAGAAGAAAAAGAAATGAAAGAGACTGTTCATGTTTAAAGAATGTTGTTATGCTAAAGTGCTAGAAAAGGTAGAAAGTGGTAGCTAGCATTTTGTGATATATATATACGGACATGGTTGGTCCATGCTCCTGTATAAAATTGATGATTAAATTACATAAAATTCCGTGTCGCCATAAATTCTTTATTTTATTTCAATTTATTAAGTCTTAGGTGTTGAGTTTTCACACGTTGATTTTTTTATTGATTTATAGATATAAGATAATTTTATTTTTTGTAAATAAATATTCATTTCTTTATGGTTCAAAAGAATTAGCACCGGTCAAAATTTTTATCTGCATTCAAAATATGTACGAAATAGATATATGATATGTGTCTTTTATATAAGGTCTATCGTTTAATTGAAATAATTAATTTTATTTTTCGACTCTTAACATACATAAGTGTTACTCTTACGTCCCTTGAGATATTAACCACTAAACCATCCTCGTTTGCCTAATTTGTTTAATGTATTTTTATTTTCTGATTTCGGTGATTCTAACTTTTAATTCGAGGTTATTGGTGCTATTTTTATGTAGCAAAATTGATTTTTTTATTTTATTTTTAATTTAGCAAGAGAAGGAGGTGACGGTGAGTGAGGGCGATTGGACGGTTGTGATTAGGTTGACGTTTACAATTTAATGGGACGGTGACTTCACTTAGAGGGGAAGTGAAGGTTTTCATTGTCATTTTGATTACTGAAAAAGACGTAATTATCCTCTTGACTTTCACTTTCATAGGGTAATCATTTCTTTGGAAATTTTATCAGTAAGTTGGTGATATACGCGGCAAGGGGCATTCTGGTCATGAAAAGTCAAAGTCGAATGCCGACGCACTCATTAGTTAGTCCATTATAATACAAAAGTGTCCTAATATTATAAATTACTTTATTTTATGGTAATTAGTCGCACAACAACTATCTAATATGGTGGAAATAGAATAGAAAGGCTAAATAATTTTTGGGCAATGCAATAAATAATGAAGACTTTCCTTATCAAGATCATCTTTCACCAAGTCGTTTTCCATAACAGTTATAACTTATACGATTCAACTCAACTTTCCTTTTTTTCTTTGTATTGAAATTGCGGTACTAATGATGATAACGTGTCATCGAGAATTCTTTTTGTGGAATGAATAACTTAGTAGGAGGAAGAAAAGAGTGTAAAATGCATATTTTCTTATGAGAATTAGAAATAATAATAATAATAATAACAATAATAATAATAATAACAACTTGGGTTACATGCATCCCAATGATGTCAGGCAGGGGCGGATTTACAAGGGAGATTATGAGACACGTTGTAACGACCCGACTTGTCGTTTTAAGAATTAACGTCTCATTCAGTGACTTAAGGTCTCGAGCAGTTTTGCAATATGTATTATGACCCGCGGGTATGGTCGAGTTGAATTACTGAAGATTCGGAATTAAATTAAAAGAATAATCCTTATTTAGAAGCTTAAATGTAAAGAGTGGACTGAAAAGTTGACTTTTGAGCAAACTGCTCCGGAATGGAATTTTGATGATGTCAATAGCTCCGTATGGCGATTATGGACTTAGGAGCGTATCCGAAAAATTATTTGGAGGTCTGTAGTGGAGTTAGGCTTGAAATGGCGAAAGATGAATTTTTGAAAAGTTTGATCGGGGGTTGACTTTTTGATATCGGGGCCGGAATCCGATTCTGGAAATTGGAGTAGCTTCGTTGTGCCATTTCTGACTTGTGTGCAAAATTTGAGGTCATTCGGACGTGGTTTGGGAGGTTTCGATGTCATTTGTGGAATTCGAAAATTTCTAAGTTCATTAGTCTTGAATCCGTGTGTAATTCATATTTTTGGTGTTGTTGAAGGTGATTTGAAGGTTCGACTAAGTTCGTATGATGTTATGGGACGCTTTGGTATGTTTGGTTGAGGTCCCAAGGACCTCGGGTGTGTTTTGGGTGTGTTTCGGATCATTTTGGGCTACTTTGGATGCTGATTTGCTGGTATCTGGTGTTGTTCTTCGCGTTCGCGAGGAGCCTCTCGCGTTCGCGAAGAAGGATTTGACTTCTGGGATTTTGTTCTTCGCGTTCGCTAGGAAGGAAATCTCTATTGCAATAGTCTGACTTTGGAAGCTCATATCTCGTAATCTATAAGGAATTTGGAGATGATCCAAAATAAAAGTTGTAGCCCTTTGTGTCTAGTTTTCAGAAAGGTAAACCAATTGTCCTTCGGAGTTGTGTACCAAATGTTATGGTAGTTACACTACAGGCTGTCTAGGAAGAGTTTGGAAATCTCTATTGCACAAGGCTGACTTTGGAAGCTTATATCTCGCAATATATGAGGAATGAGGAAATGAGCAACAAATAAAAGTTATAGCTCTTTGAGTCTAGTTTCCGGAAAGTTAAACCATTTGTAATTTGGAGTTTTGTACAAAAAGTTATAACTATTATACTAGAGGCTGTGTGAGAAGAGTTTGAAAATGGTTGTTGGAGAATTTGTTCATTGCGAACGCGAGGGAAGGGTCCCGAACGCGAAGAACAAATCTCTGGGCAACAGAATAAAGTCCAAATTCGTCTCATTCTTCCATTTTTGGACCAAGGAAGCTCGGGTGATGCGATATTTCGAGAGTTTTTCAAGGAAAACATTGGAGTAAGAATTCCTAACTTGATTTTGGTTAAA